ACTATTCTTGGGGCCGACCAGAGACCGACTGCCGACTAAGGCGACCCCTGACACCGACCTGGGCCCCCCACTATCACGAACCCGCGAGGTTTCTCGCGGGTTCCACCGGTTGCCATGGCTACTGAAGGTGGGGTCGAGTCCCGGGCGCGCCCCGGTCGTCCTCTCATTGGCTACAGGTTTGCCCTACCCCGGACAACCAGTACGCATTGCCCGACCAAGTAGTTCCGTACCCACTTTGACTCCTCGATCTAGTCGCCGTTTCCCTCTTTCTCTCCTGCGATCACTGATGAGTGGATCTCCTTCCTTCGCCCGAGATCGTCTCGCACGCCGCATTGTGGCTCTTGCTCACTCACTCCTCATCTATCTATCCGTCTGCCGTCAGTCTATTCGTTCTGCTCTCCTTCTCTTTCGTCTTGCCTTTCCCTCCCCCTTTTTATTCTTTCTCGCTCCGTCTCGCTTTTTCTCCCCATACGCGAACTCTACGAACAAGTGCTCCGCAGTTCTCCTTATCGCGCGTCCTCTGTCCCTCTTCTTTTCCCGCGCGCACCATGTTCCACCACTCTACTCGTAATCTCTTCTCGCAGACCAAGCTCTCCGGATTCTTCAACCTGCTGATCATATTATTACGCTTTTTATCAAACCGACCGCGACCGCTACTATACAGTCGTCATCGTCGACTCTAAGCGCCTGTTTTCTCGAGAGAGGATCGTGTTCAATCCGTCGTGTTCACTCCACCTCGAGTTTGTTTGAATCCCTCGATTCTTATCGTTTCTTTCTTTCCGCTTCATTCATTTGCGATTACTTCCACTGATCGTTGCGATTCATCCTGAACAATTGCGCTGAATAACAATCCTAAAGTATCTTTTAACAATTTTTTCAACTTTTCCATTTTATATTAATCCTTACTTGTATTTGCCTTACAAAAAAGAAATTGTTATAAAATTGCTTTGTAAAGGTAATGATTAGAAAAATATTAGTTGGCTAAAGGACAATACGATTATAGACTATAATAATTAACATTTCGTTCGGATTTGGTCGTCTTTTCCTCTTTTCTTCTCCGGAAAAAGGGCTTAGATAGAAGGAACGCGACCGTCCACCCCGTCGGTGTCAGGGGCGGCCGAGAGAAGAGAGGTCAGAGCGAGAGGGCGGCAGCCAATGAGGACGAGGAGTCAAGTGGGGCGCGAAAAATGGGCCGGCCCGCCTTCCATCCACCCCCGGGGGCTAAGGGTGAGGGTAAGGGTGCGCGGAGTAGGGCTAGAGAGGGCTCCGAAGGCGGCCGGGGCATCGAGGCAGGGTCAGTCGGGTCGCAGCCCTGCACCCCTACAGTTTCGCTTGTCAAGTTTTTTGCTCTTTCCTCGCCTCTCTCTATCTCTTGCTCCCGCTTTCTCTATCTCGTTTCCCCTTCGTCATCTTTCTCTTGCGACGCGTGTCCCTATGTTTTTCCGAACCGCCAGGATCCGACATCTTTCATGTTCGATCTTACTTCCTCGTCTTTTACTTTCCATCACGCGGAGTATTGATTTACACATATAGCGTATGTAGAATTCGTGATTATGAATCTGAGATTTCTTTTATTCGGATTGTTTTATATGCAGCGTTTTCTCATCTCTCATATTAAAATACTTTTGTCATTTTTTTATATTATGTAATAATAAATCAGTATCTATAATTACACTTTTGCTTATCACAAGTACAAAATACTTTAATGATTTTAAATGTAGAAAGCGTGAAAGCATACTAACGTTGAAAATAATAAATCTTGTGTTACATCACTAATCAGTTTATTCTGAATTCCGTTACCGATAAATTCCAATTGCTCTCTTGTATTTCTCCGCGGCGAGAATCGATGTCGCGCCAAAGCAGGCGCGTAAGACGATCTCGCCGGGAGACGAAATCAAAGGTATCCTCAACGCGTGATTCGAGCGCGAGGAATTCCTCGGCCGAATTCGGCCTCTCGATCCGCCGGCGGTAAGAGCGTTTCTTTTTTTTCGATAGGTTGCGTGCGTACGCGTGTGCACGCAAATAGCGAACGGCGAATAGCGACCGGTCGAGCGAGCGAAAAACGAGAAACGAGGGTACAAAGAGATTTCGAAGACGATCGGAGCGGAGTGAACCGTTGGCATTCGCACACGCTCTTGAATCAAACTCAATAAGTACGACCTCCGACCGACCAATGCTCGACTCTCCGACCGTTACGAGCGCCATCGTGGATGTCGTCGTGAGGGTCGGATTTAGGCTGCACTCGATGCGACCGCATCGAATTTCGCGCGACCTCTTCCACCTGATGACGTCAGCGCGACATTCATCATTTCTATCACTGTTGTGAAATTTCGTCTCGATAGTAAGACAACGTTATCTCGTTCATATATTCTTTGCTTCTGTCTTATATTAGAAAAGCATATAAATAATGCAGAAAATTATCATTCTTAAGGTTCTTATTTGTATTTTCTTTTTTAAAATTTATATTAAAGAGCAATAAAAATCCATATTAAAAAGAAATTCTATTTTTGTCTTCCATGTTCTGTTTTTTAAATTATGTTATTTTACTATTTAAATCAATTGTTATAATTATTTAAATTGATATTTCGCTCAAGTTTTGATTTATAAATTTAAGAGACAGAGAAAATATTTGAAGAGACATAAATTGCAATATTGAGAAATTAAAAGTCTAAAGTTTAAAAGTTTATAGATTCAATTAAAAATTTTCTACCAAAAAAAATCGGCTCTTTTTTGCTCTCGGGTAATAATTTAATTTCCCACATTTTCGTGACCCCGAGTGAACCATGTGTACCCGTATCATATGTACCGATCTTTAGAATATCTCGGATCCGATAACGACGCGGGGAGCATCTAAAAATCTCAAATCGCCCGAGGCATTAACCATCACCGCCAGTGGCGGGGGCGTCTCGTGGCGAACCCAAGAACGACCTGCGGTGTAACCGCAGCTCCCGCAACCGCCATCGGGGATGAGCGAGCGTGCGTAATAGTTATAGGGAGTACGTGTGTGCAGCGGTCATAGCGAGTACGTTAGTAGGGTGGAAGTCCTAGCGGTAGATTGAGACCGTGGAAGGAGGGAGAAAAGGCAGGGTTGGGCGCGCCACGTACAAGTGCATATCGGTGAAGGGGTGCCCGAACAATGCGCTCATTCAATGCGCTCTAGATATGATTACCGGAAACCATCCCATAATTACTTTTTGTACATCGAAAACGCACGAGGCTCTCCATCGCCCCGCTCCCTCGAAAGCTATACCCCTCGACTCTACCATCCACTGTCGTCCGTCCCCCTGTCTTCATCGCGATGTTTCTTGGACGATCTTTTTTCCACCCCCTCGGTCGTCTTTTTAATGCACGCAGATTCGTTCGCTGATTTGCTATTCTCAAGGCGTCAAAATAGTCACACTTTGCACTGCTTGTTCTTGTATGAGATATTTATGGTATTTTATGGTATATATTCGTAAAGTAGTGCAGAGAAAAAAATCAACTCTTGTATTGTTATACATTACATCTTGTTCATTATTATTGTAAATAAAATAAATATGTAATTTAATTCAAAGAATCAGTAATCACAAACGAACTTGGAATTACATAAAATTACAGATAAAAACAACATTTTCTATCTTGTAAAATTTTCAAAAAGATTATCCTATTAATGTTAAAAATCGGACTGTTAATATCTAATAAAAAATAGTCATATTATTAAAGTTATCGCTAAATAGTTTTGTGATTAAAAATACTTTGCAATTTTTTAATGGACATTTGGCACACGTTACGTATTAGATATCACCGTTTTGAGAGTTTTCCCATGTTTTGAACGCAGTACGTTTCGTTGAACAAATATTTATCCCGTGATATTAATTACGTACTGAGGGAGTTGGTTGCTCGTTTGAGTCGCGAGCGAGTTCGCGAAACGCAAACGGCGCTCCGGATATTTTTCCAATCTTTCAACTAACCGCAAAGAACGCAGATATATTGCCTGCCCCTACATCCGGTGGCCGTGTAATCTTGCCGTACCTCTTTGATAGGTTTATTACCGAACTCAAGCTTGTTTGCTGCGTGTACACAAAGTAGCGCTAGCTTTTTTCCGAACGTGGTTCTCATTCGCGCGATACCTGTGCAACCCTGTATATTAAGACTGTGTTTTTATTGATTGTATTTACATTTTTCCTCTTTGCTTTTAATCTCGCTCAAACTATGTTATTATTTGATCTGCTACGTACGTTACTATCACTGTATACATGTAAGACAATAATCGTAAATAATAATTATGGGTTTTCTATATTAAAAGAGAAAATTCTCTCATATCTTATTATGTATTTGTCATATATATTTTTTCATATATATTATCATATATAAAATTAAAAAATTAATATTTTTTAAATAATATTTTAATAAAATGTGAATTATTATCTAAAGGTTATTGTAAAATTTCAAGCATCAAAAACGATCTTTAAATTTGCATATAAAATACGCTCGTATTTCACTTGGATAAACATTTCCGCGAAGAATTCATCATAACTGAAATGTACGAAATGCTTAAAACCGGCTAGTCAATGTGCCTCACGAATGCTCACATTGGTTACGATGTGACGCTAATCGATCTCAAAACCGAGAGAAATCGAGAAAGTGCCGAAAAGTTCGTCGAAGAAATATTTATGTAGCTACGGATTTTAGCTGCGAGAGGGAGAATCACTGATCTCGTGATCGCGACAACGACGACAACGACGACGACGTCGACGACGGCGTTGGCGGTGGTGGCGGTGGTAGCGGCGACGGTGGAGGCGGCGCCTGCATTATGAGTGTGTTCATATTTCCTGCGTTTGCCTCCTTCCATCCCTTATCTGTCTTCCCTACCCTCCAAGCCCTTTTGTTCGCACTCTTTCGACTGTTAATGCCG